CCCCCCCCCCCCCAAGTAATGACTCTCTTTGGTTCATTATTGTATTAGTATCAAATTATTTAAGCAAGTCTTGTGATAAAAGAAAATATTAATTTAACTGCATTTATTACAGATTTCATCAATTGTATTTACAAATCTATACATGCAAAAAAATATTGTAATATAATGTGCCCTAATACTTACATTATTTTTGACAACTTACTCTAATATTTTGGGTGAATTTTCAGTTGTATTCCTTAAATCGATTCACTGTTTTGTGTGGACGGGCTTTACTTTCTCTGGTCTTGCAACAATTTTGAACAAGGATATAATGGTATGAAAGTAGCAATAGCAACTAGTTTCAGCATTAAGCAAGGTGAATAACAAATGGAAATACACTGAAATATTTATCCAGAACAAGCTTGTGGAATTTGAGAGAATCCTGGAAGGCACCTTATTTACATTGCTTATATTATAGTTTGAACCTAGAGAAATTGCCACATTTATGTTTCTACCAGTACGACTGAGAATGTCTTGGAATATTTATTATTGTTTTGATATTTCTTCGCAATGGGATAGAATATGAGCATATTTGCATTGCACTGTGTTAAATTAACTCTAATACAAGAGAAATAAGTTTGTAACCACATATTTTTCACACTTTTTTTTGTTACATAAACAGTTGTGGCAGTGACTTTAAACAATGGATTTTAATTCCAATGAACAGTTAATAATTTCAATGTTACTTCCCCAACCAAAAAAAAGAAAAAAGGAAGAAAGAAAACGAGACTCAGGAGAATGCTATTGGTCATATCACACATTAGTTACTGCAGTCTCTCTGAGCTGCTATTGAGTTTAAATGTGATCTGTGATGTCATCAAACAAATGAGCTGAATATGTAACATAAACATTAAGAGGCAACAGAAATTTACAAAGATAAAATACTTGAATTCTGAATTTAATATTATCATTTGCTTTTTCTTTGATCTTGTTTGTAACAAATTCTAGTTTTAATAATGTTATTTTACTAAATAAGCACATTTGTAGAGCCATTACATCCTTAATCTTTACAGCCTGCTTGGAAACATCACTGATCTTAAATTCAACATTAACCACAACAATTAATTGCCTTTTAGAACTAAACACAGGTAAAAGGTACTAATTAAATATATTCCTGCGAAGGTTACCTTAAAGTAATGCCATTAATTTTCTTTAAATCAGTCATGTAGGGACTAAGACATTTTGAATTTGATACAAAACATTTTCACAAACAGCAGGAAAATTCAAAACCCTTTGCCAAAGTAATGAAAAATTTATCTATAAATGTTTTATAATTTCCGAAAGAAAAACTATGGTAATAAAGTATGGATTGAAAATTATGTAATGTGAAGAGGAAACAATTAAATTTCAATGTGTTAAAAAATACAAAGAAACAACAGTCTTATGTTATCAGGTTATAGGTGAATTTTACAACTGAGTTGTTACAAGGTTGCCAATAAGTTAGAAAAGATTATTTTCCAATTAAAAGCAGGGCAAATTGATGTTTGATTAACTAGGACGCAGTTATCTAATCAGGAGCTTTAATTTCAAAAACTAAGTCATAACGAAGTAACTGGATAGCTGCTTCCCAGTTGATCGAACATCAGTTTAGCTCCCGTTTCAATTAGAGTACACAGATATGTTTTCCAGGAAAACATTCTGAAGATATCACAGGAGAACATTGGACTTCATCACAGAGAAGTAGCTGCTCTGCATGGACATCTACTTCATTTTGACAATTGGCACCAACCACTGAAGTAGAGATGAACTCTTCAACCACTCAAGAAGTTACTTGAAGGTTGGCTTGATTCTAAAGTCTTTATATAGCAAATATGGAAAAATGACTCTATAAAGAAATGTTACTGGCCACATGGATTTTAATAAATGAATTTCCAATGAAGTCCTTGCATTACTTCTGGTAACACTCACAAAATGTACCAAATTAGTGCAAATTATTCAAATTTCAAAACAAGTTAAAGAGCAGCTTTGTTACTATTTTTTAAAGTAAATAACCTAATAATTTGTTTCACACATGTATAAAATAAATATAAATAAACTATCCTACATAATATATAAATGCACTGCCTCAATGTTGTCACAAGACACATCTTTGACATACAGTCTACACTTTGAGTATTGTTAGTCCTTCCTCTTTTTATATTTCATCTCTTTAATTATACATATATCTTAAGTATAAAATTATTTTAAATCCAACCAATTAGAGCCAAATTATTCTACAAGAAAAAGTTTATCGTAAAGTGTGAAATACATATTCTGTATAATGAGCTACATTATACAAGCTATGTAAATAAATGATAGACAAAGGAAAGTTTTCTTCAGACACAAATTCATTTTTATCTTATTCTAATAGTAAATGGCACTTGATAAAAGTATTCATATTGTAGACCATAATGTTAGAAAAGTACAGCAAGAAATTGAAAACATAGCAAGGAAGTAGAGGCCCACATTAACAAAATGTATCACAGTACTTATTTTCAGTTTTACAGCACTGATGTCAATCAAGATCTTAGCGCAAACTATATGTTGCACATGAATCTACAAACAAAATACTATAAATTTTAGCAGAAGAAAATGCTTAAAAACTGCAATAATCCAACTTATTTATAATAATTTTGGTGCTAGTATTTCTTTCTTTTATCTTTAACTCTCATCATATTTACTTCCATGGCCAGCACTGTTTGCACCATTTTCAATAGTTACGAAAAGAATATTTACATTTATAACAAATTTCACAAATGAAAACTATAGTGGTGCATTTTGCATGTCACATTCCTAAATAAAATCCTAACAATATTTGTGAACATCTATGTCATAATGTACATACTAAAAGCTTGTGTTTATTTTTACTAACATTACATTTACATCCTCTTTGGTCCAGGCAAAATATCTCTCTTCTATACAAAAAAGTGCTTTATGAATAGCTTACTCTATAATTCCTATCACACCAAGACTGTACTGACAATATCAGCATTGATATGAATGTGTCCGACTAGTTCAACCACCGAGTTTAACATTGAAGAAAAGAAATGATCGCGTATACTTCATGTAAGTTTGTAATAAAACTAAAAACATTTTCATGCCGTGTCTAGAAGGGAGAAAAAAAAATGAGAAAAAGTAATAAGACCTGCACACTGACTGAGCTTGCTTCACAATTTACAAATCAAAGCTAAATGCAAAAAGGCATACGTCAAAATTTTACATATTTCTTTTATGTTCTATTTTAGATATTGTCTCCATCCAGTATCAATTTGCCTAGTGATCAGCTTCACATTATAACAAAATATCAAAATGATGTATTTTTGTTAAAATAACATTTTTTATCCCTCTGACAAGTAGACAATTTTGACATATGTCCTTTTGAAATTGGAAATTTATACTTCCCTTCACTAAAGCAAACTAGTTTATCATTTCCCTCTTCACAAGGCTTTCAATCTAAAATAAATTAAATGAAGACATATCATATATCACTTCATAAGTGACATGCCATTTGTACACTTGTGCTCTCTCATCATGAAATCAGTCCATCCAATAATCAGCTGCATTCATTAATTCTCTTCTAATTGAAAATTTGCATTAGTACCTTTAATGGAACTGTTCTATACATTAAGCAATGATTTATGTCAATGGTATCAAACATGGTTATGATCATTCTATCTTCCCAACAAGTTATATCTTGTCCAACACTATACAACCATGACAGTAACAACTATTATGGAGATTAATTTAATAGAAACATCCAATTTAGGAATGTAGGACAGTACATAATTTACAATCAAGAGTTTGATGAGAAGTGTTTCTGAGCACCTACAACTGTAATCTTGTTCTACTAAACCAACTGTTCCACAAACTTGAAAATTCTGACTTAAAATGAAAACTACCTCATGTTCTTCCCAGTATTATTCAACATTTAAACAATAAGAACTCTTAGCCAGTATTTCTCAGAAACATGTTTATAGATTGTCAACAGTCAATATTTTACATATATTAAAATCATACATAACAATCCACATTCATACTGAGGAAGGTATCAAAATTGCACTTTGTAGCATGTTTGTAAAACCACAGAAAAGACTGCACAGCAGAAATGTGGTGAAATGCATTATGGCAGAGAGCGAGATCCATATCAGATGATTCAGAAACAAACTACTCCACTGTGCGCTACATTTCAGTTGAGAGGAGTAACGTTATTACTCATGTTAGTTATTCCATTGTGCACATTGTCTTCATATAGTGCCTGATCCCAGTTAAAGGCTTCATTTTGTCTTCCTGGAAGCTCTCCAAGGTGAGAGAATCTCTCTTTAAACTGTGGGTCTCTAGCTTTGAGACGAGTGAATCTTTGAAACATTAGTTTCTTGGCAAACGAATACAATTCAAGATCTAGGGCATTCAACTTCTTAATTTTGTCAAGCTGATCACGATGTACAGTATTCAGAGCCATACTGGAAAGAGTTGCATTGTGCTGCTCAAATGGTACTAAAAATCTGAGATTGAAAGTTTCTTCAAACACATACTGACCAACCTAAAGGAAGAAATAAAGGTTTGAATTATATCAAGCTAAAAACAGACCAAAAAAAAACAAAAAAACAACAATGATATGTCACAATTACCTTCTGGTGCTCAGTGAGCCCAAAAAAAGCCATTGAAGCCAAATTTCTCTTTGCGCTTGCCAACATTACTCGATCTCTCTCAGCTTTGGAAGGCATGTAGGACATATTGTAGCATCCCACTAGAGTTAAATCAGCTAACATACGAGTTTGCCTGAAGTGGCAGCAGATTTTGTTTTAAATAGTAAAAATTCTTTACTTTAAATTATTCTGTATACGCACACATACATATAAATGTATTCATACCTGTTTGCAGCCAAATTATAAGGACAAGCAGCAAAGTCATCTAACGTTACTCCTCTCCAAGATGCACCCTTATAACAGTGTGGTAATTCTTCTCTTGAAGCTGGGCGCCCTCCACACCAGTGTCGAGAATTTCTCCATGTGGCTCCTCGTTGAACATGTCGTAATTCTGACAGGTATCGTGCAACAGGTTCTCGCAGTAAAGTAATGTAGAAATAACTTGAATGTCAATGAAATAAAATTAGTAGCTTAGAATAAACCACAAAAGCAATTAATAAATGTGAAGTAACACACAAGAAACCCTACCGTCTTTTAACAGTGTCCCCTTCATTTTTATCAAGTTCTGAATCAACACAACTTGTCAATTCAGTCCAATCTGCATGTAAACCACATTTCCATCCTGTAGAGTAACGACTAAAAAGCCAGTTTTCATTTCGATTTGGTCGAAAACAGTAGCACCGTTTCCTCTTTCTTTGACATGTGCAGGGTCTCTCTAGATCAAGGTCTCTAACTAAATGTCTACCAAATGAAGTGCCTCCTGTTTTCTGAATATGAAGAAAAACCATCACATCATGTGCATTCATATCAAACTGAAAATTTTCATTCAAAACATCATCATAACTCAATCCTGGGCTAGATATTTTTGACGTAATTGGTTCTGAATGAATGACTAAGGGTTTTCCTAAATTATCACGAATTGGTAAACGAAAAGGCGTCCAGTCAGACCAACTCGTTTCACGAGATGTAAGGGCACACACCTGATCAGGACAAAAATAGCCCACATAAACAATACCACTGATAGCCAACAACACACATATTAATACAACACTGCGTAATCTACTACTAGAACGTGATTCCATTTTAATTTCATAAGTAACCGATTCGCGGAGAAAAACCTGAAAATCACTGTCAAACACCTGAACTTCGACGCTTTTCTTTGCCATTTCTTAGTTATATTTCAACGTTTCAGCCATCGTAAACAACAGATATTCGAAGGCATTTTGTTAGGTGCAGTTAAACTGGATGGATGGATTTGGGACGTCCCAAATGCCTAATTAGCGAAGAATGGCCGGATGCATAATTGAAGCCCTCTGTTTCGAACTCTTGTCCGTCAATCATTTAAACTTCAGTTTTACTTCACTTCACATCACATCACATCCAGAATGTCTTGGATTTCTTCTTCGTCAATAACAGATTCCCCCACTTTGGCCTGCCGTGTAGGTAAACAAAAGGACAAACAACCCGTTCACCCTGCTCCCCAGTCTAGATGCGGCTCGATCTCGGACGAGTCTCGATGATCAGCGTTAGTTCCAGTTCTGTTTTTTGTTATGGCATTTCGACACCCTGGAATTGCCTACATCATCCTATATCTTGCGGTTTTCGTAATCTCCGTCACAGTTTATCCGTCAAAAATGACAAAATTTATTTGGACAAAACTTTAACGCAAATATAATTTTGAAAAATAAAGTTTATTATTTGATTAGCGTTTTTTTTTAAAAAAAAAGATTAAATATTGCAGAATAATAGAGAAGTGAACAATTTTTATCCCCCCTTCCATCTAACGAGTATTTACTGTAAGATTGTTAATATTTTGTACAAATTAATACTGAACTTAGTAAACAATACGAAAAATGTTGAAGTGTTCAAAGGATGAAGATGAATTTTTTTAACACTCGTAGAAAATCCATAGAAATATTCTGAACGTTAAGAGAATTTATTAACAATTTGTGGGCACCTGCTTAGAATAGACTATAACCATTCTATGACCGGAAAATTAAAGAAAAAAAGAAATAAAAACTATAAACTAGTGAGAACATACTAACATTTGGGCCATGATTTTACTTACAACGTAATTTTAACTTCGAGAAATGGTTTCGACACGTATTCGAATGGGGGAGGGAATGCAAAATATGTCAAAATGCAGTTATTGTATTTAAATCATTATGTCTTGCTTGTTTTATTTTTGTCACAAAGGTATATTTCGCTAGCTTTGTAGTCCCAACCAAAAGCGCTATTAGCTCTATTGGCCACCACTTCAAAATACTGTAACATTTCTCAGTGGTGAATTAGAACACACTCGTGGGTATTGTTTAACAACAACTTTTATTTGTAAAGAATTATACACAAAAAAAACTATTAGATCTATTTACAGGTTGATTACACAGTCCTTGTGTTCTTCGCTTAATTATTTTTCTAGCACGCGACTCCGTTCTCTTGACTATTTATTTACACAGCTCACTTCTTATACACAATTTATTTACACTGTTCATTGAAATCTACACTATCGCACAGTCCTATGCACTGTCCACGGTCCACTGCGCTGATCACAATTCACTGCGCAGACCACACTTCACTGCACTGAACACAATTCACAGCGCAGACCTCAATTCACTGCGCAGACCAGTGTCCACTGCACTGCTTTTTACAGCGATGCACACTTCACAGCTCAGCTTCCTCGGCAGACTTCAAACTTCGTTACGATACGTACAGTCATGAAATTCGTTACTCTCTTGAAGTCTCTTAGACGTTTTGTCAGTGGCGGCTGTACCATCCTGCCTTCTAATACCAACTGACCAAACAAACTGGGGGTTGTAGCTCCACCGAATGCCAGAAATGTCATTTTAAACTAATGGTACAACAAAATGACAGACATTCTCGCACTAGTTCGATTCCTAAGTTCTTTGGCCTGGGCTGGATCTTTTGGGTTTGCCCCAGCTGCCATCTATCGCTGCCCAAACATAATTTGTTTTCCGTTCTCAAACTTTTTCTCTCCTATTTGAATGAAATGGCATATAACTTTATGAATATTATTAGAAGAATAAAACCTCGTCCAATATGGAAATTTCGTTTAAAAATGTTGATCTGTTTTTTGAAAAATCATTGGTTGAACGTTTCAGCAAAATTAAGTTCATATTAACCCAACATATTTGCGTCTTTGGGAAACTTCATTGGAAATAATTTGAAGCACTTTTACACACAAATACAATACTGTATACAAATTGCTGGCAATATAAATTTCAACATTGTGAGAGATTTAGATTTAGGTTCGGGTTCGGTTTCGGGTGTGGGTGCGGTTGTGGGAACTTGGACTTGGACGACTTGGACTTACACTTGGACGATTTGGACTTGGATTTGCACTTGGACGACTTGGACTTGGACGTGGACTTGCAACTTGGACTTGCCTCAAACTCTTTGGAGACACATTGCTACCAAAACTACATTTTTTTTGACATTTTCGTAATTTGTAGGTTCCTTAAACTAGGACGGATTTTTTTAAAAAAGAATATTGAAGAAAAGTAAAACTTTGTTCTAAATGGCAATTTCCTTTGAAAAATTTGGAGCAGTTTTTAAGAAATTGGTGTTTAAGAGCTACTGTAAATTCGAGATTTAAAGCTCTCTTTCGCAGAAAAGTATTGAATTTTCAAAAAACTTCATTTGAAGCACATTAACTCACAAATACTATAGTGTTTATAAATTGCTGGAAATGTGCAAATTAACCGCGTGAGATATATTTAAATAAATACATTTGAGTAATTTTTTAAAAACAAAAAAAATACCCCAAAGTGAACTTTACGTCATATTAAAGAGTGCAATTAGTTTAAAGTCGAAAAGTTTAAAGAAAAAAATTGGAGCTGCTTGCTGAGAAAATGGCGTTTGAACGTTACCGGAAAAGCGGAATTTTGAGCTAGTTTTAACGACGTGAGATAAGTCCAAAATTTACATTTATTTTTAAATTTTGAAAAAACAAAAGAATAGAACAATATGGAGTTCATATCATCTTATAGAGTGAAATTAGCACTATCCTTACGAAAGGCTTAAAGAAACATTTGGAGCCATTTTTGAGAAAGTCTTGTTTTTGTGATTTTTTGAAATTACAAGTTTTGCCCGCAATATCGCGAGATAACTATTGAAACTTTCAAAACAATGTTCATGGCCTTAACGAAATAACTTACTATGGAGAAAACATTTTATTTGAAGGAAAAGTTTGAAGAAAAAAATTGTAGCTGGTTTTGAAAAAATGGAGTTTGATCGTTTCTGAAATTGCGAAATTTTGAGCTAGTTTTGACAGGAAATGGTTGAATTTTCGAGAAGTTTTATGTGACAGTATTTACATCACATATACTCATAAATATATTAATGTGAATAAATTGTCGCTGGTATAAATATTAACAATGTGAGTGAAGTCAAAAAATTACATTTTTGTAATTTTTGAAAAACCAAAAGAATAGAGCAATATTACGTTTTTGTCGTCTTATAGAGTACATTTAGCACAATCCCTGCCAAAAGTTTTAAGAAAAAATTTGGAGTTGTTTTTGAAAAAAAATTGTTTGCGTATTTTTTTTAAATTGCACGCATTATTGCACGAAAACAACTTAAATTTTGAACAAAAATGTACATGCCCTTAATAAAAATTTAAATTATGAACAACAAGTTTAATTTTAAGAAAAAACTCTATTTTTAATTTTGTAATTATAGGAAGACTCCGAAAAAAATTCAAACTTTTGAAATTTTCGAAAATTTAGAATTTACCGTGAAAATTGGTCATATGACACCTTTATAATTGTATTTTACTATATTGTTACAAGAAATTTAAAGAAAACATTTGGAGACGTTTGTTTGGGAAAATTTTGAAAATGTCCTAGGGGTTTCATGTAAAGGAACCAAAACTAATGAATGATTTTAAAAATCGCAGAGCATCTCCTCAGTCAAGTGGAAAAACATCCTACAAATGGTTTAGGAGCTAGTGTTCACATACTCAAGACGGACAGACCGACGGTGGTCGGACGTTTTGAAGATAGTTATAGAAACGTTATAGAACACGTCAGAAATGCAATTGACAACGGTAAAATCACATTTCTCGTCCTTCTCGATTTTAGTAAGGCATTCGATTCTGTCGACCATGATATTTTGTTAGCAAAGTTAAAAAACATTGGATGTGCCACATCTACACTCAAAACGGTTCTCCATCTATCTATCTGAGCGGCAACAAAAGTTGAGTGCGGTGAGTCATTAGCTTCCGGCATTGCACAGGACTGTGTTGGGACCCATCGCATTCCTTATTTATATTAATGACATATGCAAGTCAATAAAATATTGTTGTCATCACATATATGCTGATGATCTCCAATTGTATATTAGCGGACCCTTTCTCGCGTTTTCGAACTTGCTCAAAAAATCAACGCAGTCTCTTCTCTTCTTCATCATCAATGGGGCTACTGCTAGACCCCAATAAATCTCAGTGTCTTGTAATCGGCTCCAGAAACTCCCTAAATAAATTATCACTTTCCGCTCCCCCTGACATTTGCATAAATGAAACCCATCTACCGTGGAGTAATGAGGTGAAAAATGTAGGTGTGCAAAAGCATATTACTCTAAACTGGCATGTTCAAATTGATAAAATCTGTCAAAAAGTGTTCGCATCTCTGTATGTTTTAAAACGCAAGCTTACTCTTTTACCTAAAAAAATGTCGTCAGACCCTTATTCAGTACTTCCTTATGCATCACTTTGAATCATGTGATTTCCTATTAACTGAGATAAATTTAAAACCGCAAGTTACAAGTAGCTCAAACTGCATGCATTCGTTTCTTATTCGACCTTAAAAACTACGATCATATTTCAACTTTTTACTCGCGCTCTAAAACTCTTACCGTTGATAAAAGGCGTTTCCTTCACTGTCTTCTCCTCCTCCTCCTAAAATTTTAAACAGCGCTCATCATACCACCCTCTCACAACAATTTCAAATTATGAAGCTACATAAGTGCCCGAGCGTCACGCCTTATTTGAATTACGCACCACAATACCTCTACTTATAGCAAATACTGTCACTGCCATCAGTCCTAGGAACAATCTTCCCTCCACTATAAAAGTAGTAGTACATTTCAAAAGTTTAAATAAGAAGACACACGCAGGATTCATGAAAATACTACTTAACGACATTGCCACTGCTCGTCTGCTAAAACTGAGGACTATAGGTGGACACCGTACTGTTTCAGCGCTGTGAGGAATCTCATTTTATTCCAATTTTTTAAAATCGTTGAATTCCGAGCTGCAAAGCGACTAAAGATTAGGATATTGTATTTTTCATCCTACGGTACTGATGACAACAGAAAGAATTTAAATAAAAACGCATGATATCGATTTACAAATTACACATTCGCTTACATACAAACTTTACTGTCCAGGACTGAAGAATGCCGACAGGATTTCACAAAATATGTTTCAAGTCTCTTTTACTTTTTCTTTTTATTAGATTTCATTCTCTTTTCCCTTTATTCTTTTTAGATATTTTCTCCGTCCGTGTGTAAATTAGTGATGCGACATCGATAACAAAACACCGATGTTCATAATTAAAACATCGATGTTAAAAACACAAACCGATGTCGACAAAACAATCATCGATGTTTTTAGACTGAATTATAGTAAGCTCTAATATTAAATTCGAGTGTACTAAGGTTTAATTTGGCAATGTTCGTGTTTATCAATTCGCCGAATAAGGGTGCGAGGAGAAGAGGCAGACACTACGCCCACAGCGAATTTGTTGACCATATCTCAATATGTGAAATGAATATGAAGAAAGAGGAAGCACAAGGACATAGAGATCATCTCGGACGAAAGAGTTTGGTCGATGAAAGTAGTGCAAACAGCGTTTCTTTGGTTCCAACACATGAACAAGTGGGTTCAGTTATTATTTCGTATTTGAACTCATCACACAGCTTTTAAATGTTTTTGATGTAAAAAAATAAATAAACATTTATATTAGTGTGATTATAGGAATTTCTCATTAAGAACAAAACATTGGAAAAGAAAAATCATCGATCACAAAACATCGACATTAAAAAACCTAGACGTTAATACACCGATGGTTAGATATCGATGTTTCTACAAAAACATCTACATCGATGTCTCATCCCTACTGCAAACAACGCTAGCGACTAAACGTTTCAGCTGATTTTCTCCAAAATTGATATTCTCAAATCGATTTGACCTATTTCACGGCCCCGGGAATTTGAAACTGATGTTTTAGTTTTTGAGGGTGCTTGTGCGACATTTTTCAACTAATTTGATTGTTTTGAAAATTATTTTAAAGATATGGCTCTATCATTTTTGATTTTTTTTATTAGATACTGTGAAGGACGTTTAAGAGAATGTTGCAGGTCTCATGTTCATTGAAAACCTTGATTTTTTTAAAAATTGCAAAGTTCAAAATTTTCTAGGAATTTTCCTACAAATAAAATATTAAAGATAAAGTTTTTCCCTTAATGAAATCTGTTGCTGAAAGATTTTATATCATGAAATTTTTTTCGAAAATTTTAGTACTTTTCGCGTAATTTTGCAGGAAAATACGAGTGAGAATGTACGTGCTGTTTTAGCACTACTAGTTACTTGAAAGTTTTGTGAGAAGTTAAAATTGACAGATACTAAATTTTCTTTTTTTGGGAGGGGGGGGGAGGGAGGGGGAATTTCCCTCATATTTCTCCCGTGCACCTGATTTATTAAAAATGGGAATCTCAATCTATGATAATTTGTGACTTAAAATGCTGCATTAACAACAAAAATTTTTCATTTACCAAAATTTAACTCATTCAAATTTTAAACTTTAAAATGACCTAACTCATCTTTAAATAAATTTATCGAAATGCCGTTCACTTGATTTCGTTAAAATGATGAGGGAAGGGAAGATTTATTATTCAAAGAATTCAGATATGATGATGAGAGTGCATCTACAGGTTTGTGAATGAGATGCTCAGCTTGTACCTAAACAAACCGAAAGAAAGCAAATATAATAGTAAATAACAAAAGTGACAAAGAAACAAACCTCTACATATGAATACAACCAAAATCATATTGTGCTCTAGGATAGGCTAACGGAATTTCTGGGATTGCACCTAACACTTTCTCGGCAACGTTGTGACGTCTATCCCAGTCTATCCGTCTACCTGCTTATCTTTTCTCCATGCTTCTATGCTTATGGAGTGCTCTCCAGAGTGCGCTGGCTTATGTCAATAGAATATTATTCCATACTGTCTGTAACACTCTCTGGTTTGTATTATTCCATGATTGCACCTTGCGCATTCTTTGATCGGGATTTTGCTCATAGCGGCGCAGCATGTGTAACGGATAGTTTTTAATAGAACTGTTTCTAAGCCGCATGTGGTCGACGTATGTGGTGAATACAGTATGTTAAGTTATTAATTATACATTTACCTATTGCTAAATTCACAATGTTTCGCACCAAGAAAGATGTGGATCGGCATGTCCAAGAGTTATTTCGCAAGTTGAAAGGAGAAAGGGAGGTAAGGTCCGCCATTCTTTATTGTTGTTGGAAATTATTCTTATTGCTCTGATATTACGAAGCACATGTGTAACGCGCCACACGTTTGGCTTCACCAAACAATAAGCCACTTTACTGAAAAGCTTAACATCAAAAAGCATCAATAATACTATCAGATCTGGCTTTATCAGTTAGTGGCAAATCTGCCCAAAATTACCATGATTTGAATAGAAATTATTTTTGACACATGACGGTGGGGTTTGAATTTTTGCATTGTGTAAATATTATAATTGTTCGGAGGTGTTGGGATGAATGACATTGCAAGATGAATTGTGAGGGTAAGACTGTGAAGTATGAAAATGGGTTTTTGATTTGCAGGAAATTGCGCGGGAATAATCGGACAGCATTCACAATATTTATTAGGAGATGCAATTTGGTGCAAATATATGGGAAGGAGGCTGCTTTTTTCTGTACTTATGTTACCTATTCTTTTTCAGAGAAAATCAAAGTACTTCAATATTGCTAGACTATATTATCAAGTAGGTGATTATGAAGCAGCAAGAAAGTATGTGGCAAGTTTTTTATCCATTCGAGATGACTCTTCAAGTGCCCATAAGCTTCTGGGACAATCTCTGGAAGCACTGGGGCAGAAAGAAAATGCCCTCGAGGAATTTAAATGTTCTTTGATGCTAGAAAGTAATCAGTCTGATTTAGTCTTAAAAGGTTTGTGAAAGTCATCATTGCTTTGATTGTCATTTGCTTTAACTAGATTTTAAAGACTTCTTTATTGCAGTATGTGAACTCATGGCTGATCCTGAGGTAAAGGTGGATAAAAGTACAGCTAAGTACTGGAGTGAACGAGCTGAACAATTGTTTCCCCATCATCCAACTGTCTTCAAGTTGAAGGAAAAGTTGGTAACATCTAATGAAGAGGGTAGTGCTCCCGAATTGGAAAAACTTATTATAGGTGAGTACAGTACATGATGTAATTCAATATTTTGCAACATTTTAAATATTGAAAGTTCAAAGAGAAATGGTCTACGAACTCTAACTTCTGTTTGCTCTTACTTTACTCTGTATGTATACAAACTTTATATGTATTCTTCCACCTTTTAGTTTGCAATTGACTTAAATTTCACCCCATGATCTTACACTAAGGCAAACACCTGTTACTGTAAGATCAGTCTTAACTTATTATTGTCACCAGTTCTTGTTCTACTGTATGACCATAATCGGTCATCTATATGTGTAATTTGCGAATATTTAGGAGAACTTGGTTACATTGTACCATGCACTAATAGACACCTGTCAATTTGGTGGTCAGTTCTCTTCTTCTGCACAGTGCATGAATTTTAATCTGAGAGCGTTTGAACAGCATGCAAAATCGTTCTTCTCATTACATTTCAGGGATTTTCTCTGTGAATGTTTTAAACCTGTTGTAGTGGAAATAGCTACTCTCATAGTGTTCAACACCGTAACAAAAATCTATTTGATTTTATACAATTATGAAACAATATCGTTTCACTGACAAAGAAGAGGAAAATCTTTTAACACTCTTGAACCTTCTCATTAAAATTGAACTGCAGTTGGTTGAAATTCAGTTGCCAAAAGTGTTTTTTTGCCCTTAGACCCTTTAAATGAATTTGAATGAATGAACCCTTTAATATGAAACCCATTGGCAGACTGCACTTTCTCAAAAATCACAATGACAGTTTGACTCATAAGTATTCTCAGTCACCTGAAGAAATATTGAGAGCTGAGTAACAGTTGTCAACATCTGATTGTTTAGTTTACTGATTTTTCTTCAGGGCAGCACTGAATATTACTTTGACTTTGTTGATGCAGTCAAGAAATTAATTTAATAATTAGGGGCCTCACCTGTATGATGTTTGTCTTGAGGTGTTCAGTAGCAGATCATGAGGAATGATCTTATGCATTTGTTTACATTCACAGTGAAGTAAAAGCGAACAAAGATTTGGAACGTGTGAATGAGCTAGGTTTATAACACTCTACTAGTAGTAATTTTCTTTGATGTGAATTTGCAGTCTTTGTTCTAATGTCATTTTGTTCCATCATGAAAAGTTAAAATGCAATAAACTTGTCATGCAGCTAATGTTCCTAAAAGTTTAGCTTATATGAATTATAAAATTGTGACAGTTACTTGTTTGAATCAATGGCACTGCCAATAAGTGTTCTGAAAGCTATGAAGGAATTACTGTACACCAGTTGCCTTTGTTCTATCAGTTGTAATGTCTGAGAGACAATATTGTGCTTTATTTATTTATGTCAAAAACGGTTAAAAAATGTGTGTGTCGTGCTATGGTGAGAAGTTAATTTGAAGTTACATTTATGTTCAAAACATAAGGCCATCTCAGCATTTACTCAAGGATCAGGGAAACTGTACGAAAACATGATCGAGATGGGGGTAGAGATGCTTCACTGCAATTGTCTGTGTTCCTCTCCGGAGTAAACACTAGCTACTAGTTAGAATGTAATTTAAAGCCAATCAGTACTTACAACTACAGTATCTTTAAGACTGACAAAGAGCTTCAAATTTGAAGTTCAGTATAATAAATTATAATTATGATTTTGCATTGGCCTATTCATTTGTGTTTTATTGGAGGCAAATAAGTTGGTTTGTCATAGGCAAGGCTGCCATTTTTGTTAGGAGACATTGGGCTGCATTGCCATGTAACTCAAATGTTAGGCAGGGGTGATAGACTTGCACTTCAGCATTATTAGAGTGTAGTCTCTAACTTTCTGTAATCTAGTTGCTGTACAAAGAATATTTTGTTACAACTTCAATTCTGACTTTGAAGAAATATCTAATACTTTTGTATGCTTCAGTGTTCATGTTCTTACTATATTGCTTCTACATGTAACTGTTGATTGGGAAATACAGCTACTCTGTGCAGAAGGCCGAATGTAAGTTATGCTTGTGAGAGAATTGGTAGGATTTTCTTGACTTCAAAGTTGCAATTACTGATGGAAGGGATGATACCAGTTTCATTGATGGTTACTGTGATTAAGTCTGGAATGGACTAGATTTAGATGAATCTTACACAAAAATTGGTGGTTAAAGTAGGGTTCACTGTACACCCTTAGAGAAGTGGGGAGGAAGAGGAGGAGGAATCTCCTTAAGCCCACCCTGAAAAATATGCTAAGTTCTCCAATAGAAATGAATAAAACTTAGGGCTGGGTTCACCAATGTTTTGTTAACCAGTGCTTTGCTAAGCTGGCTCAAAATTAGGGTGAGCTTAGGGCAAACGTATTCACCCGTCCCCTTGTGGCACATCTCATTTCACCAGGTTTTGTGCTTTGTTTTGTCTTTGGAGTATGTTGGCAACACCAGAATGTAATCACATCAACGTTCTGCATGTTCTTTGCCACAGTTGCCTCCATGTTTCTGTCATTGTTTGTAATATTTTGTTGACCACCATCAGTCCTTATAGTGCAAACGAAATAAAATAGTCTTACAAAGTTCCGTGCAAAGTGTTAATTCTTTTCTAATCATTATGTACATGTAACAAATATATTCACTGCAATTTTGGGTGTTGGTAACTACTGAACATCAAATTAACATGATAATGACTAGAATTTCGTGGTGTTCGAATTCGTACTGTATTTAAAATTAAAATACTATACTTATACAAGACTAACATAACCTTAACCTGTGTTCCATATGTTATTGTTTTACTATTGCAAGATATACCAAGAGAAATACTGTTCATTAAAGTCGTAAGCTTACAGCTCTCGTTAGTTGCAACTAGGCCACACTACATCACTGCATGAATTTATACACTGTCAGATGTAAATTCTAGTTTTTCGTCAATCTGCTCTAACGTTAATAATGTCTATCTGTTCCAAAGGCGAAAGCAAGTCTGATAATCAATTTCATCGGTCTTTGAAGAAAGTTGCCCTCTCCTGGATCCATCTAGTTTGCGTATGTGAAGAAATTATATCTTAAAAAATGTGGTCGTCATCACCGAATGTAATTGCATATAACCTCTCCCCCTGGTTCCTTTGGTATACTTAAGCCGGATTACGTTCTTAGAGGTTGGCTAGCGCTTACGTAGAAAGGTTAGCTTCATGCTAGGCGAAGCTTACGTACCATGATGAAACACTATTTCGTTCCAAACACACGTATTTCTGCTAAGGCCTCGCTTAACAATCTTAACCAGATGTGGTGAAACTCGCCCTTAATGATGTTGATTTTTATTGCTAAAAGTTTAGAGGCTCAACCACTCCCTTGCCACAATGGTACCTTTGGTGACCAAACTTTCTCTCATCTATTTCCATTTCCACACCAGCGCTTCCAATGGGTTCACTCTCTATCAGCTGCACTAACCCGCACCTCACAACAAAAACTCATCCAGTTGGTCACGGTTCCCCGGTTTACGTTAATTTCTTTCTTAATAAATTCACATGGTATTTGCATGACCCAAAGATAGTCTTTACTAATACCTGAATGATATTCAACTTGCTTCCTAGAAACCATGACCCCCTACCGCATGGAACACCTACGTACTTGAAGAGAGGCCCCGTTCTTTTTACACTTCCAATCAAAACCATCACAGTACTCTTCTCACTTGCTCATCACCCGTCCCCACTGAAAGGTTTCCCTTGCATTCCCTTAAACACCCCTGGAGTATCAGTCATGCCTTCGTAATTTTCTCATTAATTTGCGGTCATTCTTCACCTGCTTCGGTCATTTCTTTACATTTTTTTGAAGAAAATTAGACAAGCACGTCTCCAGCAGAAAATATATTCTATTTCGCGCCAGTGAAGATATTTGGAATGTTGTCATCGGTCCACGCTGCAATCTTTTGTCTTCAACTGTTTATTATGTGAGGGAAGAAAGGTCATAGTTCAAGAAAAGTTACAGGAGTAATACCACAGTTTCCCTATCCTTTGCACCAGGTGGCTTGTGAGCCTATAAATACGTTGTCTGGGATTAGGAGAGTAGCATGGCTGCACCCAGGAAGACTGTACCTCACACAAACTGATCTGAATTACACTTGCACAAGGTATCAGAAATTAGGGAAATTATGGAAATGAGTACTGTAAATGATGGTTAAGAGGGGCCAACTGACTTGGATGCAATAGATACTTGCTTCAGATGGAACCTCCTCCATCAGGCCTTCCAGGAATTATTGGGTGAGATGAAAAAGGATATGTTTGAAGGGTGGGAAAGCCAGTGTGTCGCAGGAGTATAGATGTAGTATGTGCATGTTATTGGTTGATCATTGCCTATTTACTTTCTACAGTTGGTAAATTGTTTAAAGTATTATCTTTTGTGCTCATATTTGAAATAGTAAAAATAATCACTCATTTTTATGTACAAACCGAATAATAATTTTCTTCCTACAGCGGAGCTGGCAGCGCGACCCAAAGATGTCTCTTTACATGTGCGACTTCTGCAGCTTCATTTGGAAAGTGGACGCATTAAAGAAGCTTTTTCTACTGCTATTGAGGTTGAGATGCGTTGTGCCTTCCGGGAAGAATTAAAATGGTATGAATGTCTCACAGATGTTTGTAAGGTATGTTTTACTTTGTAGGTTCTCATTTTTCCTTATTTTTCTTGAAATATTATTACAGCTTTTTATGATAGAAAAGGTCACTTAAAAAATTACATTTATGGCATTGTATTTCTCTTTTCCTTGCCCAGATGCGCAAATTACAGGTTGAACACAAGCTCACGGTCTCGCACGCGCCTTCTCTCTCGCACACGCTCTCAAAAGAATTCAAATTTACTTTGTGTACAAACAGAATTCATCATTACACCTGTGTACATAATCAGTGCCGTGTGAAAAATTAAAATAGATTCGACTGTTATATTGACAAGGCATATGTAGTCACCGGGGGAACGATCTTTCCGTACAACACAAGAGCTCATGAATCCTTTTAAACCCAGAGCATACTAGCTCAGCAGTATTGCATAGTATATCTCTACAATCATTTATTTGAGTCCTCTTTTATGACAACTATTTGTGTTATTGTAATGGGCCACAAAAGGAAACGGTAATACAATTTTTGAAGAACGGCAGCTCGTGACATTTCATCACGCTAAGAGGAAGTCCAATAGACAAATATCGAAGATGCTAAACATAGGCAGAACTACAGTTGGTGATTTTGTTAGAAGATGTAAGAATGAAGGCAGCATTGAATCAATTGCTCAGTCAGGAAGACCAAGAAAACTAAACAACCAACAAGAACGGTTTGTTGTTTGCAAAGGGAAGGAATATCCTAAAATAAGTGCTCTGAAATTGGAGCTGCAGTGCTTGGTCTCTGTGGCAAATGATGGTAGTAGAAACTGTTAGTAGAGCACTATGAAAAAGCGAGTATGGCAGAAGAAGATCATAGAGGAAACTGTACATTAGTACTGTCAGTAAGAAAAAGATAACATATTGTAGGTATAGGCTTTACGACAACCAATGATTACGTAAAAGGTAGGAAAATGTAAAAAGCAGAAACATGAAAATGGGATTTTTCTGAATTTCTTTCTTCATCCTTAAGCAATGATTTTGTTGAAATAAAAAAGTAAATTCAATTCTCTTAATTTTATTTCTCTGCGAATAAATTTGTATGCATTGTTACTTGTAAGAGAGCACAAAGTCCCCAATGCGCATTCTTACTTTTTGATATGAATGGAGAAAGCTTGTTTCTAAATTCTCTGATTTGTCAGTTTTGCTTCAGTCAGCACAAAAAACTAAAACAAGAATTGAAATTGATTTTGTCAAAGATAATTGATCAAAGGTTTACAAAATTGCCTGAACTAGTACTCGCTTTCTGAGGAAAGGTTAATTTGCTCCATACAAGTCACCTGAGTTCTCAGTAGATTAAGATGAACTTAAACTTTTGAGTGATGTCAACCTGTTTAGCAAGGAATTGGTAAATGAACTGCTAGTTTCCCTTTTACAGGGTAAAATCATCATGAAATTTTCATGGGATAACTGGGGTATTGTATTCTTTTGTACTTAAAAGAAAAAATTAAATTAGTTAAATGGTTATAAAATTACGAATGTTCATATCTAGATTTTATTTCAAAAGAAATGAAATTTGTTTTGAATACTTGCCAATCAAAACAAAAGTAGGTGAACATTGAAAAGTATTGTTTTTGTTCATTCTTTGAATTTGTGCATGTAATAACTGGTACTTGATGTTACCAACAAGGCAACAAACCAGTTTAAATAAGGTTCTGAGTTTGAAATAATAATAATAATAATAATAATAATAATAATAATAATAATAATAATAATAATAATAATAAAATTATAATAATGATAATGATGATGATTTTTAATAATCAATTTTGTAATAAATGATAATGTTTATAAATTTTGAAATTATTTTTTTTTTTCAATTTCTCTCCCATCAAATGCAAAAACTTTGGTAACTTTCAATAATGAAATAAATAAAGAAATTTATGCTCTTTGAAAATCTGACATCTGTTGTTTCCACTAGGTCTCTCTTCAAGAAATGTGCCTAAATCTCAGCCTAATCAGTTACCTAAAATGATAGAACTTAAAAGATCCAAAATTGGAACCCAGCCTGTTCCATTCAGTTAGTTTGAAAAATGTTTAATTGAAAGATATTGGTTTAAGACTAATATCATGTTTGCAATGCTTTTAAAAATAGATATCAACCGTAAGTCTTTTTATAGGCGTATGCAGAGGCAACAAAACCTTGTGGATGGGAATTTTTTTTCCACTACACGGCTATCTTAGAACGAGCTGCATGCCTAAATCTTCAAGAACAATATGGGAGTCCCCGAAGATCGTGGGCCCAAGCTGTTGGTGCTCTTTTCAAGTAAGTTTGATTAAATGAAGTATAGGGGAATAGTGTAAAAAAGAAAAAAAACAAATGGAAAATTCAATTGAGCAATTGAAATATAAATATAAATGAAGTTCTCAACAACCAAATAATTATCTAGTAATGGAGACTTTGTGACTTTGCTGACAGTGTGTGTGTGCTGATATTTGCCTTTATACTGAATTTGTTAAAAGTGAAAGAAAAAAAAGAAAAAATCCCAGGAGACCTCTTTAAAATTAGGGGGTTGTCTTGCTTATGTGTAAATATAGTAATTATTTAACATGATCTCAAATACATATATTTTCATTGCAGTTTTGACCAAGTTCTTGAAGTTGCATCTTGTCAGACTCCACCTAGCAGTGAAGCAACAATGTATCAAGAATTTCTGAAACACCAGAGAGCTCAATTGTGTCTTCACTATGCTACTGCACTGTTTAAAAAGGCGAAAAAGGTATGTGGCACTTGATGACTAAAAGAAATTAATGTCTATTAGTAGAAAGTAATGCTAGATCATCATGTTATGTTTCTGAATGCTCTTGAATAATTAAAATGAAAGAAAGGGAATTGTTTTAACTTTTGTTTCTAATGCAGTAAACCCTCATTTGCATGAACATGCCTAACACAAATTTCGCAGTAACACGAACAAAACTTGGGTTGAGGCAAGGGGATTACTGTAATATGGTCATTTACAATAATCGGATTACATAAATTTTTATAACAAACTGATTATTTCAGTCCCTTGGTATTGGCATTAATGAGGGTTTATGTAATAAAAGTTTCTGAAATAAAAATGTCTTTGAAGTCGGTCTATAGTTCAATTATTCAACTTTCTGTGATAGGAACCAAGCTCTTGGATAGATGTGTCACGTATCGTTGCACCGCTGCTTCTTCATGCACTTGTCCCACCAGTTGATATTCATTCTGGCTGGATCAGCCAAACCTCAAAATCTCGCCGGAAATGTGTGGAGTGGTGGGCAAAGGAAGGAGCATATCGAAACAGTCAAGCAGGTGAGTGATAAATGTTCCTGTGATTTTCACTGTTCCTTGTATGCCCTATGTTATATAGGTAATAGCTATATAACATAGCTATTGGGTAATAGCTATATAACATAGCTATAGCTAATATAGGTAGGAAATGTATTGGAATCATCTCAACAATGTGATCTTGAATAATGAATGAAACATCTATGTTTAAAGTTGTTTTCAGCTGTAACCGCTTACACAGAAAAGGTATATTAGTGCATATACAGAATAAAGGTATATAGTATTTCAAAGATGGTTAAGGTTGCTGCAATTGGAGAGATACATGTGATTTGTACCCCAAAATAGATTTGTGTGTATGGCTGGATATCAAGAATGTTCGTCAGACTAGAAGCTTTTAAGCTGAAACTTTGTAAATGTCATGAGTACGATCTGGTTGTGCCGTTCCTGAGGCAATTATGATATTTTAATTTTAGGGTGTACTATACGCAAAGCCTCTGATTTACACACACATTTTAAAAATTTTGTGGAAAATGCTTAAACAGTTTTCTTGAAGTTTTTTGCTCAAATAAAAGCTAGGCTATTTATGCTCGAATAGAAGTGCTTTTATTTGTGAGGTTTGGCTCTGATTTTCAATAAAACCTCTCACATGTAGAAAATGGTAAAAAGCATTTTACAGTGAAACCTCTGTATAACGTTTTTAAGGGACGATGTCTTCTGAACACTATAGAGGAAAACACTTTAAAGAGGAAGGCTTTCAATTAATAATTCTAAAAACTATGTCAAATTATACTGAGGATATTGTAATCCACTTTTTATTTTGTTTTATTTGATCTCACCATCTTGGTTTTATCAGGTTGCCCCACTTACCTCTTTCCCTGGCATCAGCTTTGCTGTCTGCTTGCCCAGCTGCTTGTATGTGATACAGGGAGGATGCATATGTGATTCGGGCTAGTACATATATTAGATATTAAAACTAGATGGATATGTTTTAACACTGAGAGTTTAATAGTTGTAAACATGAGGACCTGTACTGCATGAAATGATTACACTAACTTAAATCTAGTACTTATTTTAATTTGGCACCGGGATCACTGGACTGGCTGTGTATGGTACAGGTTCCTCTTTCCATGCTGTGGGCTTGATACCTGTGGGAGTGTAGATAGGCACATGGCTCTGATTGTGACATTCCATGTTGTTGGTGGGGTGCGTTCTTCGAAAAATGTATTCTCAGCAGTTTGGAAAGATTGATTGACCCATATCAATTAAGACCGAAGTAAACAAGACATAACAAAAAAGTGAGTTTCTCAGAGAGGCATTTTATAACATCTTCATATGGGCATTGCATTCTGAGTAGTTAAAATAATTGAATTCCAACACACATCCTATAAGCCAATGGAGTTCTGGGTGGCAACGAAGCCTGCCCTTATGCTGTCCCCACACAGACTTCTCTGTGCACGGCTGGAGGGTCTCTACCTCATGGAACTGTTTCCAGAAATATTCTATGCCCACGTCACATTTCACTGTAGTTAGTAAACAATTTAAAACTCGTATTCTGAATACATTTTGTAAACTCAGCTCAATTTGTAAAAGCTTAGCGAGGAGAGATTTTGTGAATCTGATGATATATATCACTTCTGACCCCCCAAAAAATTTTGGAAATTTATTAAAAAATGGTGAGTAGGGGCCTTCTACATACTATGCATTGTGACCTGTGACTCATCAGCTTTTAATGGTACCAAGTCTATCATGGAGTTTATTTGTGAGATTTTTCATCTTTCTACAAGAATTCTCATGTCACTGTTGATGATGGACCAGTTGAAATATCTGAGCCTCTGGTGCTGGAAATTGCTTTGGAAATGGGTTTGGCTGACATATTGTGCAGAATTGATAAGTTGAAAACAAAAAGCTCAGTAGGTCCAGATCGCATTCTCTCTATACTATTGAAGAACTGTAAATTAATTTTCACACAAATTCTAGGATTGTTATTTGGAAAGTCTTTGACCGAGGGCACTTTTCGAAGTTAATTGAGGTCTTCATTCGTACTACACATCTTTAATTCTGGTCACAGACATGACATCAAGAATTACAGACAGATTTCCATTCTGAGTGTTATCCTAAAACTTTTTGAATCCTTGGTTTTGGATAAAATCGGAAATTGTTATTTATCCACATCTTTCGGATAGACAATTTGGTTTTATGCCTAGAGGAAATATAGAAGATAATTTGTCTTATTATTCTTGTTATATACTTAAAGCTGTGGAGCATAAACTTAAAGTTGATTGCCTGTATACAGATTTTAGCAAGGCATTTGACTCTGTAAACCACGAGATTTTGCTAGTTAAACTGGAGCAGTTAGGAGTCAGTGGACCATTACTAGAGTGGTTTTACAGTTACCTGGCTCATAAAGTTCAGATGGTTTCTTATAAGAGTATTGTTTCCAATCCTATAGAGGCATCTTCAGGTGTCCGTCTGGGGTCACACTTAGGTCCTCTCGTATTTAACATGTTTATTAATGACATATGCAACAGTATATTGGACATGGAGTATCTGAAAAATCCTATGTGATGAAGACAGTCCTTATGTAGAACACTGAGCGGTTTATATACATGGTGCATGAAGAATGAAATTTTTCTCAATATATGATGAAACGTATAACTAACTTTTTCAAGATCTAGATCTAATGAAACATCTGATTATATGATGAATCTCACTCCACTAGGGATTGGAAGATCCGTTTCTAAAACATGACTATATTGACTTGGCTCTGTGCAGTTGCACATTTCTTCACTGAGTTCTCAGAAAGACTTGTAGTTTTTGAGAAAACTGATGTTGGGTGAGGTCGATTGCAAAATCTTGCAAAACCCAGATGTGTACAAAACACCTAACTTTAATTCTATAACCAAAGATATTTTTGATATTAGATTTTACCGTCAATCTTACACAGCAAATAATGTTGTAAATCGATGTTGCAAATCAGTCAACAGTTTGTGTTGATATATGTGAAACGGATAAATGTGCTTTTTTACCACTAGCAGGCTCTTACCACACAGGCCTAAAAGTGGTTGCCTCAAATCATTTGTATATATTACATCATCCTCCTTTAAAATTTCACACTTTCTCATTCTAAAATATATGTAATTTTTCCACATCCTTTAGTAGCTAAAATATAAGATATGAAATTCTCGGTACATTTTTAACTGTAAATTCACTTCATGAACCCTTTTCTATTATTTCAATAAGAAATTTTAAAAAAATTGTTGGAAATCATTCTGAACTGCTGAATAAAAACATTTTATTGATGTGGGGGAAATGTAAACTTCAATTTTTTTTACTTATTGTAGAAATATAATTTACCTCCCGTCATCCATCAAGGAGTACTTATTAGCATCGTCAAAGACTACCATCAGTAGATGGCAGGGACTTGTCTAAGTGTCTTTCTGCCTTCAAAATTCATAATGCTTCAGTTAAAATGCATTCGATATCTGATGTAAATATCGGTGAGATTGCTTTTGGACCTTGTATTATTGTTGATTACGTATCTAATACTGAATATTAAACCATATTATAATCCGTATTGATTGTATGCATCAAAATACATTATACTATATACACGGTTTCGAAAAAAAAAAAAATTCCCCCTATTTACAGTTCCTACAATTTACACCATTTTCCTTAGGGTCCCATGAAATGTGTAAAAGAAAAGGTTTACTGAATAAATTTTTTCCATAATAATTTTCTGCTTGGCCACATCCATTGTTCATTGAATGCTCTTCAAAATTGCCGACCTGAAATTTCCTCCAATTCACTTCACTCCACTGCACTGCACTATATTCACTGTTATTTTCACTATGGTCTGTTCGTTCAGCACAACTTAAGCCTTGGACTGATTCTGATGTAAATAACTGTGTTAACATACTATTGTTGGATGCATGGGTTCACGGGTGTGTACATGACTCATTTTGATTCTTTTGTTCTTACCAAAGTTATAAGTTTCCTTGGTTTCAAACAATTTTGAAAATTCAAGAGGGTGTTTAGAGTTAGACCAATTGTAGAATCAAGAAAATGTTTCTGGAAACTGAAACTGTTCTGAATGTCACCCAAAAAAAGTGAAAGCGACGAGTAATAGCGGTGAAGAAGCTTGGCTTAAATGTATTTAAGATGTAAATAATTGATTAGGGTTCCAAAATCACAAGTGGAACATCAAGGAAAATCTTGTAGTGGAAATGTAGTACAGAGGAAAATTTGGCATTGTGTATATGGGCTTTTGATTGGGACCAGAAAAAGTTGACTTAGCAGAGGAAAATATTATATGGAGGAATCTTGAAAAGAAATTTCACTGTATTTAAAACACAAACAGTTTTCGTTTAGATAGCAGCACTGTACACTGTCATACAGTGGCACAACTTAGTGTTAAAAGCCCTGTGGCGACCTGTTGGTCAATGACTGACGCGCTCCATGTGGAAAGAAACACATTACCTAGCTGATTACATTCAATACTATGTTCGTAATTCTTCTTCGTTTCAGCTAAATGTGGACAAAAAGGAAATGTATATTAATTTTTTAATTTCCTCTTAACTAAGTGTCACTACGTTATAACAGTATACAATGGGTGAAATAAAATAAAAATTTTTTTAAAGAAAATAAATTATTTAAATCTTATAAATTTTGTCCTTCGAATTTGAATAATGTTCTAAGAAGTAACAACTTCATTTTTTTTGAAAATGACCAGAAACTGCTGAACAAAATCAATACAAAAACTACACAAAAAATAACATTATATTGAATATAATATATAACAAGATATTGAATGCTTGCTGGTGGGCAAATCAAAATCTGGTTATTGCTCATTTTATAGAATGAACAGAAGGGTTGCATTATAAACTTATCACATGGTACTCTTTATTTTGCAAAATTCAGTTTTTCCATGTTTAATTATTTCCCTGTTGGGATTTAGGGCTTTAATATGATTTCACCACACACATTTAGTGCATAATCTTGGAGGAAAATGGATATTCTTGGACATGCAAATCAATGCAAAAGCTTGTACTGAAATGATTTCTGCAAAAGTAATTCGCAGGCTTGTTGAGAATGTGTCTGTTGACATTATTTGTAGATTAGAACAATACATTTTTCTTTATGTGTTTAAATTCTCTGTGGGTTAATAGTAATTGTAAATTAATTTTCCTTTCCCATTCGGAGCCAAGACCTTGATCATGGAAAATATATCATTGCAAGTTTTGCTTGCTGAAAAACTCAAGATGTAAACCCAGCATAACAAGTTACATGGAATTAAGAAAGAAACGTTTTGTTTGGTGTCAGCACTGAATTTAATGAAAGTTATTATTTTGGTTCCCCTTTCATTATTGAAACTGTTTTCGAAGAGTTTCTATTATGGTTGGATACCTCAGAATTGTGCAGTGATATCTAATTTCTTGTTTTAGGTCATCTCGTTTTAAGCCTCGTCACTGATCGACGTTCACATTTTTTGGAACGAGTTATCCAGTTTTGTACTGGCAACTGGAGAGAGAGGCTTTATCAGGTAATTATTACTCAATACATAGAACAGTTGGAATATTTAACTGTCGAAGTGATTAAAAAAAATTCAGAAGGGTTGGATATGCTATAAATACCAGGAAAGCTTGGAAAAAATAAAAGTATGCAGTGTTGTGTTCTCCATAAGAAAAAAAAAATTACTTCAAAATGATTGACTTCTATTTCAAGTTATTCATCAGCAACAAATTAATTTTTCTTGTAGAAACAAGAAAAGATGTGAACTTGATTGATTTTAGTAGATAGCTGTAGTAGTTGCATAAATATTACACTTCATTGAGGTATAGGATTTTCCAGCAACTTCTTCTTGGATCCATTTCCATGAACAACAGCTACTTGATTTGGTTTATGTATGTGCAAATACATTTTCTCATATACTGTAATTTCTGAAAATGCTGTGCTACCCCTGCTGAAGGTTGTCAATGCCTCCTTGCTTTCCTTCAGTTCAATATGGCTGTGAATACTGGAATGCTCTCAGCTTCATAAAGGACTAGGAAAACAATAAAACATTGCTTTTGTGTTTTTCTAAAGAGCTGGGCATTACTGTGTTTTGCATTAAGACTCGAGGACACTAGCTGTCTCTCCCTCCCAAGTTGTGCCAAATTGGCAGGTTGTGTGAAGCAGGCCTCTAATGGGTAGAAAAGATATTATTTATTGAGTGCTTTCATATTTGCTCCTTTTTATTCTAAACAAGCTTTATAATATAGCTTCCTTCTGCTTTTTCAATAGCTAATAGATGTGATAGCCTAGACGAGACCACAGAATATCAGTTAATACTTCAAGGTGCTGCGACATCAATCAGATTAATTGGGTAATATTATCAAGGGATTGGTTTTAAGGAACCACCAAACCTGCTGGCAGTAGTAATTTATATAGAAACAAGCCTTATTCACTTTTTTTGCTACCAGGTCATGGAAATACGTTTTTGCCAAAAAATACTGTCTCCCCCACAAAAGCATTGCAATTCTTTCTTCATGCTGTGTAAGTGCAGGTGAGGGAGGAGAGGGAAAAAGAGAATGTTTTTTCTCATGATTTTGATTGTTGTGGTTTTTTCCCCTGACATGTTGCTCTTAGCAAAGTGCTCTTGATTTTGATAATGTAAAAAACAGTTATTTCAAACATATAATATAAAGATAATTTTAAGGAATAGATAAAAATGTATGTCCTTATATTACAGAAAATTTTTAATACCCGTGACCATCAACAAGCTATTGGTACTTCGCATTTTGTGGGTCATCAGGGCTTTTCTTCTCCACCTCATCACATTCCTTCATCAGGAGAATTAAGACCTCATGATGAAAGTGAGTAATGTTCATTTATAAATTTCATATTTGATCTGGCAATCATGAGTATTCATGTAGTGAAGTTGCTAACGTTGGTAAGGTAGCACACTTATTACTTTCTTTTTTCAACAAGTTTGAAGTGAATGAAAACTAATCCACATCAGTAGGGTCCACGCCCATGGGACACAATCCACCTTGGGTCTTTCCTACCCACAAGTGTGTCAATTCATTTAAATATGAATTTTTCTATTTTATTAATGTAACAAAATTTTTCATTGGAATAAAATTGTGACAAGGTGAAATTTTGGTAATATTTAATTATAGTTGTCCAAAATTTAAATGAGCAACTGAAAAAAATGCATATCATAAGAGAGAATCAAAATCAAAACCTCAATTTCATTTATAGAAGTAAGTAATGACTATTCAAATAAATGCATCTATCCACCACAGGAGCTTCGTTTGAATTGGACTTCTTGAAAATTATAGCTAAGATGTTAGTAGAGCAGAAATTGCAATATTACAATATTATGTGACTGTTTTCAATAGGAAGTTTTTACAGGGCATAGCATGGAGATATTAACTGCAATCTCGATCTTCTGGTCATGCTCAAAAGTAATATCATGCAAACCTCGAACTGAGCCTGCTCAGAAAAATAATTGATATTGCAAGAATGAATGTTTTGTTGCAACACCTGTAGTTTCTTTCTCTTCATTGTCCTTGAACTTGATGCCATGCAATCAGCAGATACAAAATTGGAAGGGGGAACTGTTATGGCTATAGGATGGATGTGGTAGAAACGTCCAATCCACTTTGCCTATACAGATATTTTCAAATTATTAGGCTTGCAACAAACAATTTTCAAGTTTTGATTTTGTGGTAGAATAGACTCCTTGAGCGCTGAAAATAATTCCGAAGTACAGAAAAATCTTACCGAGAACCTCTACAAGCCTGAAACCTGCTTTGTTGAAAAATTTCTCCATCCTATGAAGTCATTGTGCTTTTATATAAAGCATAAAATGGAATGGTTATTCATGTCCTACAGGGTAAAAAAAGTTAATAAAACAAAATTCCTCTGAATTTAATGCAATAGGGAGGGAGATGCAAAATATTCTAAATGATGGGAATGCACCTTCAAGTCTTTTTTAAATTCAAATCTTGTATATTACTTGAGTTGTATTCTCAAAGCATTAGAGGTTAAATATCAGATCGATTGCATTTGCACTGAATTCTTGCGCTTGCTTTCCATTCTGTAAATCATGACATAATGATTCACTTGCAAAATGATTTGAGCTTGTTTTTGCAGAGTTCAATTCCGAATATTATTTAATGGTAGGCATCTGTTTAATTTCATGAAAACTTCATTTTTTGTTTTCATTATAGATAAGATAGCACTTGTAGATTCTTGTCGCCGAGTCAGATTCCTGTGAGGTGTATTTAAATGCCTGAAAAGATTCAAATGCCCATGCGCAATGTTGGTCACGCCCTTTTTCTGCACCTTAAAATCTTCGGATTCACCCTGGTATGGAAATGTGGATATTGGGAACAAAAGAAATAACGTTTTTAATGAAACTCTTAAACATGCAAAACTTATGCATATGTGAAATTGTATTGAACATTTGGCATGCTATGCTGGAGATGATTTTTGGTAATTTAATCCATTTTTGTATGCACATGTTCCAAATTCTTTCATAAAGTGTTGACAAATGTTCAGAAGCTTTCCAGGATAATCATTTCTTTTTCTTCTTCTTTGCCGGTGATGTTTGCTATTGGTTGACTCATAGGCTAGCAGTCTTAATCATGGGCTACCTAAGAGTAAGCTGAGGTTTAATTCCCAGGATGGGCATCCCCCCACCCCTCCTCCATCTTCTGTGGTTATTTTGCTGATTACGGTTTTTCAAGATTGGCTGAATCCATAAGATACAAGTTGCAATAATTTACAGTGAAACTTGCTTAATGTAGAATGTGTATAATGCGGAAATCTGCCTAATGTGAACAAGACTTGTGATCCTGCCACATGTTAATTCTACAGTATTATATTGCATAATGTGGAATATTGTCTAATACAGAAAAAAATACTAGTCCCTTGATATTCCGCATTGAGAATGTTTTTGTGTAATATGGTCAACTGCTGCTTTGGCGGCACACATTGCCTTTCATTGCACCCACATTAAACTGCTACCGCACCCTGCCTTGGCTTCTTATGCAAGGGTTAAATAAGTGTTCATGCTCATATTCAATTTTTTAACCTAATAACTGTGTTTTGTTAAATGGCTTAATATATTGATAGCCATTAAATTCCAGTGATTGGATTGAAAAGTTCCGTTCTTTTGCAGTGTCTCAGCGCTTGTACCCTAATTCATTGCATCACATGATTTGGCTGGGTTTACGGGAGTTGAATGGATGTAACAAGAGAGGTGGAGCAGCACGTCTTGGAGCAGATTTCCGATGCCTTGTGTATGAGAACTTGCAGTACTCTTGCAATAATTCCAGCCTAGCTGGGTCAGAAACACTTTGCCAGTTGGATATTGATGCTTTCCTGTATGCCTCAAGTAAGTACGCCTATGTTTCTCAACGGTTTGTAGAAATTGAAAATAGGAAGTTGCAATGTACTGCTTCATACCTTCTGTGTTACAATGTAACAGGTGACAGAATTCTGGAAAACAGGGATATTGAAAAATGGTAATTATGCAGGGAAAATTTAGGGAAATGGACACTCACCTAAAGAAAATGGGTATTTGACTGGAGCCTGAACCTGGAGTAATGAAAAAAAGTATTGTATTGATGTGATGGGGCAAATAGTAAGTTTGACAAAGTGATGGTCCTTCAAAATGCCATACGTTTAATTTGGCATCAGCAAAATGATGTTTCTTTGTAAACAGAACAGCGACAATAATTACTGTTTACGAGGAAATAGATAAGTGATGATTTTGCATTATTTGTCTGATTGGTTTGTATAGTTAGCATTTGCAAGCAGATTTAGGACAGTAGTGAAAAACATTTTTCACTGGGCTGGAGGATGACTTCGTGGCAGGTTTTGGTTTCTAAGCATTTTCTTAAGCTGTGTGATATGTAAATAATTAGGGATGGCGGTAACTGGTGGGTGTTTGGTTGCACAGGTTTTCACAATTAGTGATGCATTGCAGTATTTTAATCCTAATGTTACTTTGAATTATCCATGTAATGTACACAGTGCAAATTATTGTGGGTAACCTGTAATGAATAGTAAACTTGCATTTTATAGCAAATAGCTAGGAGAAAATGTTTTGACATGCTGTTTTTATAATTTTTAAACCAGTAATAAATATTTTTAAGTTTTTGAGTTCCACAGGCAGCCAAAGAGTAATAGAGATCTAGCTGGGTAAGATGGTATACCATCTTGCCCAGCTAGATCTCTATTACCTCTAATACCCTCAAGGCGATTAAGTAAAATGAACAATATGAACTTAATTAAATAGAATGAATCGTTTTTATTTGCCTACACTTTGCACACAGAGAGAAACAATAATAATTATAATAATATTAATAATAATAATATTATTATCTCCATCATGGTCATCGTGATCATTTGGCCGTCTTGATCATCATTTGGCCGTCTTGATCATCATTTGGCCGTCTTGATCATCATTTGGCCGTCTTGATCATTATATGGCCGTCTTGATCGTCATCATCATATGGCCGTCTTGATCGTCATCATCATGGCCGTCTTGATCGTCATCTTCATATGGCGGTCTTGATCGTCGTCGTCACATGGTAATCTTGGTCGTCGTCGTCACATGGTAATCTTGGTCGTCGTCGTCACATG